CCCGTGACCAAAAGTTACGGAATACACTCCGCGACACTACCCAAAACATCTATGCTAAAACCATTTTAGAAAAGTTCGTTTCCCAAATTGGTTCTACCGGGAATCGAACCTGGGACCAAGAATTACGGAATACACGGAAACTTCTCATGCGTGCTTTATTTAAAATCTACAAATCGCTTAAAACACGACCACACACACAGCATATTCCCGAGAGAAAAAATATCCACTTTATTTAACACATTTGAAGTTCTATATTGTGTTGCTATTTCCAAAGTTCGCCCTAAGCAGTCCGATGTCGCTCAGCCAACGCTTGCCTTTCAAAGAAAAATACCTTATTGTTGAGAAGCCAGTCACACTTTGTAGTGCCCGTGGTGGCACAAGCTGGTGACGTCAGGCTGCGCCGCGCTGCACCGCGGGACACAATGTTATACCCACTTTATTTAGTAGAAATGACACATACTATATTGCATTTTCCGCCTACCACCGCTTGCTGCAGTTTTTTTTTTAAAGAAAATAAAACCACTGATCCAGAAAATATCGCAAACATTTGGTCTCGTGACGACGAACCATGCTTCAACCAGAAAATAGTACTTCAATTTCAATTAAACTACTTGTTCTCGCTCATTGACTTACAAATAAATGGACGACGGGTCTAACACACAAACCACGAAAAAAATGTCCCAAGTCAACCTATTTAAACGTAGTGACATGTAAAGGAATATGAAAAAGCTAAAACGTTGAATTTAAATTGTAATGTCATCGCAGTACTGTTTAATTTTGCTTGCTTCGCTGTCAGTCGAACAAACGAAGACTTAAGCGTGAATGACGCTCTGTATACGATTTTAACGCCCTATAAGTTCGGACACTTTTTAGCGCGGGCCCGACGTCCATATAATTGTAAGTCAATGTTCTCGCTATATAGATTTTGACGCTTTTTAAGAGCCCTCATGGCAAAAAAGTTTTGACGTTGGCTCCGCCCACACTCCCCGCTACCCGCACCTATCATTCGCCGCCCGCTACCAGTTCGTCGCAGAGCAAACCGATCAAAAGTTATTTTCGCACGCTTATCGTTGACCCGCAAACATTGAAGCCATAGAGTCGTATTTGTCTACTTAAATCTTTTATTACACTTCGTTATTCAAATAAACGTATTACATATTTAAATATCTAACCCTAATTCTAAAGTACAATTTCAAGAAAATGAGTGAATACACCGCTAAATTTTAAATTTATTTCTTTGCATCTTTACAGCTTTTCAATTTGGTTTATTTTTGCCAACTACAAAGTTTGTCAGATTACAATTTATTTATTTTTCGTTACATAAAAACTAACTCGATGCCAGAACGAAGCGACTTAAAATATTGTTTATCAAAGAACAATGTAACAAATTGAAATACATATTAATAATATATATAATAACTGAATTCCGTTGTATTAATAGATTTAGACATTAGTTTTTAATTACTATATTTTTTAAATGAAGCGACTTATAAACAAATGGACCATAGTAGGACTATAGCAATTGTGTGTCTACATGTGTGAAGGTGTATGTGTAAAGTATATGTGTGAATGTGTGTATGTCTATGTAAATATCTGACAAATTTCTGCAAGTGTTTTAATTTTTTTTTATAGTTTTTTTATTTTTCTAGGCAAGCCAAACGACAACGCTGAAATAATTCATTTCGTCGTCGTTTTCAATCAAAATACAAATTGATTGAAGCCATGCTAAAAATGTCAACCTATTAGCATATTCAAATAGACTAGGTTCAATGTAAACATTGAAGAAAATGAAGAGAAAATATGTTCTACAATTTACTTTAGTACAATTTAACAAGTATTATTTCTCAATTGAAAATCTTTAATTTGCCAAGAGCCCAGGCCCCTGCATAAGAACAAATTTATATATTAAAGGTGATAATACGCTCAGGAGGTTGTTTTTAGAGAATCGCTTTTCATTGTCACTCTGATAATAAGTTTTTCGCCGAACAATATCACTAACATTAAAGTCATACTTTTTACGACGAAGATTATAAGGACCATAATTCAATTTCTATCATGCGACTTTATTAAAGAACTTTGTATATGATCGAAATTTTCTCTAAGTTTACAGGTATTTTCCGCATATTCGTCTCTAGGCGTAAAAAAATCTTCGGGTTGGTCGATATCAAGATTGTGGGAACCACAAGCTACCAATTCTCTTCAGACATGATGTTACTAACAGCAATATTGAGAGCAATTTGATTTTTTGGGACATTCAGATCCCAAGATCTGTAACTGTGATCCTCGTCTATGAACGTGAAGACAGCTGCCATGATGGTTTTGTTGTAGTGCTCAACAAACAGAGTTTACGTATGGAGTGTATTTGTGCGTAAAATATACATTAGGGCTTTTGTATCTCTATTTGGAAAAAATATTATGTTTTATATGTTTCACTAGTTCCCATATTCTTACAAATTGTAAACAACCACACGAAATAGTATGCTTTAAATATGGAGAGAAAGGCATTCTTACTCCAGA